GTACTGTGGAAATATTTTAAAAATGATTCTAATCATGAATAAGTACGTTAAATATGATTATGTAAAAGATAAATAAAACGTTTTAATTATAGGAACTTTATTTAGCTAAATCTAATTAGATTACACAAAAATCAGAAAATAGAAGTGATGGGTAAAAAAACTGATATTGGTATTCGCTGTGGATAATATCGTTTTTACAAGTTGGTAAATATGGAGTAAATCGTTAGTTTTATGACAGTATTTCCTACAGGCATAACAACATCTTGTTTCTTTCAATTTTCTTTTGCATTAATTTGTAAAGGTAAAAGTATATTACGGTGGAAGCGTGGGACTGAAATTATGTATTTATTTTCGTACAGGACCGTATCTAACCCGCTGCAAAAGAAATTGTGTAAGTCATTTCTTTTCATGTAATGACATAACCTCACACTAACTGTACAAAATGTAATACGAGTAATAAAATGAAGAACATACATAAAATTACTGAAGTAGTTGATGTTTTATGAACTACAACCGCTTCCGTAAATGAAGTAGCTTTCGTAGTGGCAGAACTTTTCAATGTTATCATTTAAATATACATGTTTGCGAAATGTTTTCGGCTCTAATAGTTTTATATCGTCGACGCTCAACGTTGTAAAAATAAACGACAGGTAGCAAATAAATGCAATAAACAGAAGATTATCTTGGTCCTGACCTTACTTAACTTTCTAATCTGTATAATTCACACTTGTCATAAATATTTAATTGGGTATACTTGGTTAGGTTGTTTAGACTTTTTAGATTCATGTACAACATCTATACAAGGTAACACTTTCTGGACAATTGTCTCAAACTCAGCGAAAAGACTGAGCTACAAAATTGGTTACATACTTTATTAAATACGTATTACAACCATTAAATAGTAGTGTATATTTGGCTGCATATGCATATGATTTGGACGGGGTCAGTTAGTATTTAGATTAAACATCAAAATTTTTGGTACACTTTTTATCGTTAGAAAGGGACTGTGACGATATTTGTATGCTGTCGTTTAGGCATGTAAAAAAAAAGTTAACAAATTAAGTGCACTGGCCGGGAATCGATCCCAGGCCGTCTGAGATAAGACTCGAATATACTTGTTTACATTTTATACGTTTACTAGCAGCGAAACCTGGCGTTGCTCGGGTTAAAATACATCGCATGTTTAATGGCATATAAAATATTTAAGGATCCACTTTTTAACGTAGATAATGTAGATTTCTATATTAGATATTGAGAGACTTACCCCCGGTTTCCTGGGCGCTGATCAACGTTAACAATTTGGTTAAACTGATTGGAGCCCAATCACGTTCCGCTATTATTCAAAATAGGGGCACGTGATACGCTAAATTCAGTTAAACCAATTTGTTAACTTTGATCATCGCCCAGGAAATCGGCCCTTAGTCGACCATTAAACATGCAGTGTATAGAATTTCGGTTTATATAACTTAATACATCGAAATTTCTAGTACCAGATCATTGTAGAATATTCAAATAGTTTGTTCTTTTTCATTTGTTAAAATCACTTTGATTTGTTTAATTACTGTTCACTGTCAATTTCAATTGATCTTCACTCGATTGCAAACACGATCAAACTGACGAAAAGTCACTGAATTTCGGTTTATTTACCATAATACATCGAAATTTCCAGAATATTCAAGATTATTCTTAACAATGACAGCTTGTCCTTTATTTTTTTAAGTTTTCGATAGTCAGACCACCCTGTACCTTTATAAAATTTCTTGATAACACTAGATCGTTCTAGATTATTCTAGAATATTTGGACAAAATCTAGAAAATTCTAGAAATCCTTGATAATTAATTGCGGACATTTGTAACTTTCCAAATCATTCCAGATATTTCTAGAACTTTCTGGAACATTCTATATCGATTTTAAGAGTTGCACATATTCTGGAGTTTTCTGGATCATTTCAGAAACTTTTAGAATTTTCCCAAAGGTCTCAAAAGTTAGAAAAGGACAAATTTATATTTTTTCGCCTTTTCGCCTCCCACAACCACCCACTTCCATCCACCGCGACCAAACTCTTACTTTCACTTACTTTCAGCAGAAGCCCAAGGGGTATTTACCACCCCAACGGGAAGTTGATAGGAGTTGGTGGTGATAGAGAAAACCCTGTCTTTACGTACGCACATTAGCATTTTACATATATATGAAACGTTTGGAAGTTTGACATAGCGCCATCTATTGAATATTGCGATCATAAATTGAGATGTAAGCTTACCTATCATTCAAGTTGGATCAAACTGCACACGGTGTACAAATTTGATTAAAATCGGTGAAGTAGTTTAGGAGTCCATCGCGGACAAACAACGTGACACGTAATTTATATATATTAAAATGTTGGGCGCGGAGATCGTGATAAAC